GAATTCTTTAAAATATTAAGATCATGAAAGATAAAAAATGTCAGAGGAACTGCTCCAGATTAAAGGAGACAAAGAGACATGTCAATGAAATGTAACGTATGATCCTCATTCAGATCCTGGACTGGGGAAAATTTGCTCTAAAGGACACTGTAGGGACAACTGGTTATATATGAATAGGTCTATTAGACAATCTATTAACTGTAAAATTTCCTAATTTGGATAATTACACTGTGGTTACATAACTGAATGCCCTTGTTCCTTAGAAATACATACTAAAATATTTTGGAACAAAGGGTCCTGATGTCAGAAAAAAATACAATAATGTGGGAAAATGTTAACAATTAATGGATTTGAGTGAAAGGTGAATAGAGTTATTTGTTCTATTCTTACAACTTTTCTATAAATCTGAAATTATTTCAAAATAGAAGTTTTTTTAAGCTAATGAAGAATAAAATATAACAAAAGTACTTGACTCATCCAAAAAAGGCAGTAAAGGAAAAATAAAGGAAAAAAGCACAGATGGACAAATAGAAAACAAGTAACAGGATGGTAGGACTTAAACCCAATTATATTAGTATTTACACATTATAAGTATAAAAAAGTAAGTCAAATTATATTAATAATTATATAATTAGTAAATACTTATATTAACACATTTTATTAAGTTATTATATATAACTTATTATATAAACCCAATTATATTAGTATTTACACATTGTAAGTATAAAAAAGTAAACGAAATTATGTTAATAATTATATAATTAGTAAGCACTAATTATGTTAATAATTATATTATTAAATACAGTAAATGTAAGAAAAGTAAATATTCCAGTTAAATGACAAAGCTTATCAGACTGGATTAAAAATCAAATCAAACTATATGTTACTTAGAAGAGACACATTTTTTTCTTTAAGTAGGCTCCATGCTGAGCATGGAGCCCAATGTGGGACTTGAACTCATGACCCTGAAATCAAGACCTGACCTGAGATCAAGAGTCAGATGCTTAACCGACTGAGCCACCCAGGCACCCCAAGAGACCCATTTTAAGCATAAGGGCACAGATAGGTTGAAAATGAAAAGATGGGAAAAGATACACTGTACAAACATTAATCAAAAGGCATAATGACTAAGGGAGTGGTCAATTATGTCAAAGGGTACAAAAAAAAAATCTAATAATTAGAATAACACAATTGACTTTGGCAATAATTATATCATTTCAACCTTGTTAAAAGTTATTGCAATGAAGTGTTGGGGATAAATACCCAACTGGAGTAGGTTGAGCAGAAAATAGGAAATGAGGTTTTGGAGCCAGAGAATAGAGATAGCTCAGAACATTTTGTTATAAAAGGAAGCAAATTGGGGCACCTGGGTGGCTCAGTTGGTTAAGCGACTGCCTTTGGCTCAGGTCATGATCCTGGAGTCCCGGGATCGAGTCCCGCATCGGGCTCCCTGCTCGGCGGGGAGTCTGCTTCTCCCTCTGACCCTCCTCCCTCTCATGCTCTCTGTCTCTCATTGTCTCTCTTGCAAATAAATAAATAAAATCTTTAAAAAAAAATTTTTTTTTAAAAAGGAAGCAAATTAGGGGCACCTGGGTGACTGTCAGTTAAGCGGCTGCCTTCGGCTCAGGTCATGATCCCAGGGTCTTGGGATTGAGCCCCACATCAGGCTCCCTGCGCAGTGGGGAGCCTGCTTCTCCCTCTGCCTGCTGCTCCTCCCTGCTTGTGCTCGCTCTCAGACAAATAAATAAATAAAATCTTTAAAAAAAAAAAAGCAAATTAGATGGTTGATAGAGTGGGAACTGGGGTCAAGGGTTTATCAAATGTATCAGGAAAGAAGGCAGGATATGTGAAAGTGAATGCAAGTAGGTTAGTATATTCAGTTGTAGAAAAAGTAGCTCTCATCTGTGTGTATGGAACATTTGGTGAGGAGTGGAAATGAGTAGTAAAGATTTGAGAGAGAGGAAATGTAAATTAATGATCTTGGTAAAAGGAAATAGAACAGGGAAAATGTAATAGATGCATGTTGAATTAGCTAATCTGAGATTTGTGGTCAGAAATCTGAATTGAGTCTAGTCAACCAAGTTGTATGATTTTAAAGGAAAATTATTGTGGGCAAACAGTAAGAGGAAAAAAGGAACAAGGGATTAAGGGTGTTTTCAAGGGTGTGGTAATAGTGCTGAACCATGAACTCTAACGTAGACAAAGAAGGAAATAAGGACTCAAGAATGGGATGCTTAGTAGAAAAGTGGTAGGATTAGAAGACCTGATGAGATCAGAGAATTACAGAAGTGGATAAAAATAGAAAGTGATTGTATCAGGGAGTAGGTATTTGAAATCATATATTTGCATGTGGTGCAGTTATTGGTAATGATAATATCTGGAGTACAACCATATGATTTGATAGTTGAGATACAATGGGAGAAATGACAACTGGAGCAAAGGTAGTCATTTAGAATAATTTTGAATAAATTATCTATGTGGATGTTAGAGGTGCCAGGAACGATGAACAGGAGGGGTGGTAGATCCAGGTGCTAGCCAAGAAGATGGTAGCAATAAAAAGAACTACTGGTGGAAAAATGTGACAGTCCTTTAATGGAGGGAAGGAAGCTTCGGTAGATAGGTACATCAGTAACCTAAGAAGCTAACTACGGAAGTGGCCAACCTCACGCTGGCTTTTGGAGTTATAGTGCCTAAAAGATTCTTCCCAACAGCTTGGTGTGTTATAAGTTGTGCCTGGTACTGGAGTCGTTGAGTGAACGAGGTATTGAGAGGGAGAAACTGAAGATGACTTGAGATCAAGCTTCTGTGACTACAAGGATGGTGACATCTTCAGTAAAGAGCACTAGAGAGGCATTTATTTCTAAGGGAACATGAGGAGCTTGGTTGCCTTTTTCTCACTTTTCTTAAATTTGGATTTAATTATTAACATGTTTATTTCATATGTGCATACATACATTCAGACTTGAGGGTAACAGATGGAAAATTAGACAAAACATTTTGCACTTTTTTTTTTTTAAGGTTTTTATTATTTGTCAGAGAGAGAGCACAAAGCAGGGGAAGTGGCAGGCGGAGGGAGAAGCAGGCTCCCCGCTGAGCAAGGAGCCTGATGTGGGACTGATTCCAGGACCCTGGAATCATGACCTGAGCTGAAGGCAGACGCTTAACTGACTGAGCCATCCAGACACCCCTTTGCACCCGTTTCTAAGAAATTTTCTCAACTCTGTCTAGTCTAACAAAGATGAATTTTATGTTCTATCAGATAGGTGAGGTTTTCAGGTGAAACTGTTGGGAAGTAAATATTTTCTATTTCCAAGATAATCAAGAGAGAAGGAGAGAAACTGCCATGTTATCAGACAATAGCAGGTATTTTGTTGAAAAACATACAGAATTAACAGCCTGGCACAATTAAGTTGTGTCACCTTACATATGAAAGGATGTTGTAATGAGACGTACTGAGTATTCCTAGGAAAACTAGTGTGATGATAGTCTCATTCTCCTGGCGGACTCCCACACTTTTTATCAAATACAAAATAAGCAGTATTTAGAATAATGATCTTTATTACCATTTTACCAGAAAGATAACAGAGAACATGAACAATTTACTAGTCCGAAAAAAGTGTTTTATAACCTCAAAACAAATGTTTACTCACCAAGAGCTGTAAATTGCTTAAATTGGAGATTTCAGTGGGATTTTTAGCAGTAATTCTGAAACTCTTCAGTTACACAATGTTCAAGGCATGGAAAAGTGTTTTCCTACACAGCACAACTAAAATGTCATTTAATCAAGTAGACAAATACCTTGTAGACAACCAACGTAGTCAAATACCAAAGCTTCAAACCATTCAGGGAGGCATAAACTACCTATTTTCTACACTTTCAGCTGGTATGACTTTTGTTTTCATTTTTGAAGAATGACTACTGTAAAATGGCCATATTCATTAGCCTGCCACCTAAAAAGCATTAATTTGTAGAACAAATGAGCAAGTTTTCTTGTGTTCTTGAAGTATAATATAGAATTCCTTCATTTAAATATATTTCTTTTAATTTATTCACAGAATATTATTTTACAAGACTGCTTGCACTTACAGATATCATGGAGTAGGAATTCTCCAACATTATAACAGACCAAGTGATGCCCATTCACAGACATAGAAATACAAGTTGGGGGATTTTAATACTTTGATTTTAGAGTTGCTAGAAGAGGCACAGAAGGTTCATTTCATGAGTGTTGAGGGGAAAGGAGAAAGGGACTCCTTTCACCCTATTAAAAAGAAGTTTTTAAATCTCTAATAAATTTATTTCTTTGAACTATGGAGTCTCAGAAGAGGAAGTCGTCCGAAAGAACTGAATCCTTCTAGGTTTTAGCTCATTCTTTTTCCAGATGGCCTGTTCTTTTCTTGGAGAGCTTTAATTACTGTAAGAATCTTTTTGCCCTGAGCCAAAATCGGTCTCCCCTAACTTCACAAAGTTGGCCCCACTCTGGAGCTCTGGAGATCTGCAGGCCGGGTCCTTCCAGGCCTTCTTCAGCCAGGCAGGCCAGCGCCAGTGCAGGGCCCCGCCACCTCGGCTCGTCCTCCTCGCCCGCCGCGCAGCACGCAGTCGGGAGCTCGCTCTTCCCGGGCCTCGGAAGCCGCCACTTTCGCCGGGTGCGAATCAACGCGGCTGGCCAGCCCTCGGGTGGTGCGGCTCTCTCCTGACAAGCGGGGGGATGCCGGGGTCACTGGTGAGTGCATTTCATCCGGGGGCAGATGTGCTCCAGTCCCAGAGGCACAGGGTGCAGCCCCGGCTCGTTCCTGTGAAGCCCGGCGACGACCTCGTGCCGCCGGCTGGTCCGTGCGCGCCCGGCGCCGCGGAGCACAACACGCCCGAGGGAACTTACTCAAGCCCAGTCCGGTTCTAAGACGGCCGGCACCCAGAGCTGCCCGCGCCGGGACCCCGCGCCGGCCCCTCCTCGGCCGCGCAGCCCCCGCGGGAGGGAGGCGGGCGGATGACGAGGGTGTGGGGGCGTGAGTCTGAGGGCGGCGGGCTCCGGCGTCGCAGGCGCGGGCCCCGCAGGCTCCGTCGCTGACCGGCCGGGCGCGGCGCGCGGAGCGTCGAGGTCGCCGCCGCCGGGGGATGGCGCGTGCGGGGGTAAGCGGCGCGGACGGCCGTCACAGGCACTCGCAGCCCAGGGCGCAGCAGCCCGGCAGGCACACGCACACGCGCACCCCGCAGCCGCCTCCCGCGCGGCCCCCGGCTCGGGGTGGCGGCGGCGGCGGCGGCCCGGGACGCGCGGGCCGGCGCAGGGCAGGGTCCCGGGGCCCCCGGGGGCGGCGGGCGGGCGGGGGCGGCGCTCGGGGGCCGGTCTGGTCGGCACCCATCCTCCGGGCCCGCCTCACGGTCCGCGGCGCGACGGGGGTGGGGCGCCCACCGGCTCCCAGACCGCGGCGGGCCGGGCGCGGGCGGGCGCGGCTCCTCCGCCGCGCGCGGACGCTGAGCGCGGCCTGTCTCACAGGTCTGGATGCTGGTGGTCGGCGTCCTGCTGGCGTTGGCGCCGGGCCGGGCCGCAGGCGCCCTGAGAGCGAGCAGACGCCCGGCGCGGCCGCGGGGCTGCGCCGACCGGCCGGAGGAGCTCCTGGAGCAGCTGTACGGCCGGCTGGTGGCGGGCGTGCTGGGCGCCTTCCACCACACGCTGCAGCTGGGGCCGCGCGAGCAGGCGCGTAACGCGAGCTGCCCGGCAGGGGGCAGGCCCGGCGACCGGCGCTTCCGGCCGCCCACCAACCTGCGCAGTGTGTCGCCGTGGGCCTACAGGTGAGCCGCGGGGCCGTGGTGGGGTGGGCAGGGCAGGGCGGGGCGGGGCGGGGCGGGGCCGGGCGAGGCAGGTGGGATGCGGTGGGTGGGGCCAGCGAAAGAGGTGGGTAGTGAGGAGGGCGGGGCCGGGCGTGGCAGGCAGGGAGTGAGCGGCGAGGGCAGGTGGGGTGGGGCAGGTGCGGAGGGGCGGGGCGGTCGGGAGACGCTCGGTAGGTCGCGGGGAGGGACCGGGCAGGGCCGCTGGAGCGGGGAAGGGCACGTAGGGAGAGGCGGAGCAGAGACTGGGTTGGAGTAATTCATTCCCACAAAGGTCTCATCACCTCCCTCGAAGGAAACCTGCTTCCCGTTGTTTACCCTTTCACTATTTAATATGGAACAGATGTTTCTTGAGTGCCTATTTGTCAGATATATAGTTCAGTGGGTTCCACAAGGGACCAAGCCAAGTGATCCTTCATTAGTTTTTATAGAATTTTGTACAGGAGACCTGTGAAGTTCTAGTGTGGCAGTCTACAGACATTTTTTTTTTTTTTTAAGATTTTATTTATTTATTTGAGAGAGAGAGACTGAGAGAGAGAGCACATGAGAGGGGGGAGGGTCAGAGGGAGAAGCAGACTCCCTGCCAGGCAGGGAGCCCGATGCGGGACTTGATCCAGGGACTCCAGGATCATGACCTGAGCCGAAGGCAGTCGCTTAACCAACTGAGCCACCCAGGCGCCCCTACAGACATTTTTTGAGTGCCTGTGGTGGTGGTCCAGACACTGTTGAGCATTGAACCCTCAGAAGCCCATCCTCAGAGCTTATAGTCTAAGGGAGGAGTGGAGATAATTGGTAAAGAAACCATAATACAAGGCAGAACATGATTTGACAGGAAATCATAAGTGTGTGATGGTGTAACGTGGTGAGGGGGATCAAAATGGCATTTGAAATGTATTTTGGAGAATGGACATAACTCTGAAATTGGCCTGGTAAAAAGGTCGGCTCAGAAGAAAGGAACAACGTACAAAGCAGGGAGGTTGGGGTGTTCTGGGGCTTGTGTAGGGAATAGTGTGGTGGGAGTGTCCCCATCACACATTTATGACTGTCTCCTTCCCTGCTGTTAACTGCTGAGTCCCACCATCTTCAAGGGGCTCAGAGTTCGCGGTACAAGGAGGGAGCCCTCACACTGCCACAGACGTGGAAAAGCCCTCAGTGAAAGAGCAAGGACAAGAGTGGTTCAGAGGGAAGGAGTGGCTTATTGCAAGGGGGAAGAGACGGAAGAATGGCAAGCGCAGGTGTGTTTCTATGTGGCTGGGAGTGGCAAGAGAGGAGGCTGCAGAGGGGAGCAGAAACTAGATTTGGCCTTAAAAGCAATGCTACGAGTTTGAAATGTATCCTGTAGGATGTTTTTTTGATGAAGGAAGTCATGTGACCACTTTGTGTTTTGGGAAGGCATACCTGATGAGGGATGGATCCAAGGGGAGATACAGGACGAACGCCATACTTCCGGCAAAAGGTAGTTAGGGTCTGAACTTAGGCAGTGGGGCAGTGGAAAAAGTGAGACTAGGGTCAGTTTGAAAGATATTACTTAAAGAAGTTAAAGTGATAGGATTTGGTGGATGATGATCATATGTGGGAGTGAGGGAGAAGGAGAGGGTCCACACTGCTATTAAGATATGCAGAGAAAGGGGCACCTGGGTGGCTCAGTCGGTTAAGCGGCTGCCTTTGGCTCAGGTTGTGATCCCAGAGTCCTGGGATCGAGCCCTACGTCAGGCTCCCAGCTCAGTGGGGAGCCTGCTTCTCCCTCTCCCTCTGCCTGCCCTCTCTGCCTACTTGTGCTCTCTCTGTCAAACAAATAGATAAAATATTAAAAAAAAAAAGATATGCAGAGAAAATGTAATGATTTTGTCTAAAACTAATCCAGGCTTCTCCAAGCCTCCACCTGCTGGTCAGGGGGCTTCCCTCCTCCTGGCTATTCTGCAGAGGACCAAGTTCACTTGTGGCTGAGCTCCCTCCCACCATGGAAGTCAGGCCCAGGACTCCCTCCTGCCTTCACTGTCTCATCATTCATCTGATGCCCTCAGGACACACATGTTGAGCCATTCATTTTGGTGGCTTCATTCTCTTGCTTTGCCTCTTCCTTCCCATCATTCCCACAGACCAGAAGGGTGGGCTTTTATATTATCTTTCTTCCTCCAACCTCATATTACACCTTTGATATGCTAAATGGCATTAAAGAAACTTGGAAGATCTCTCAAAACAACAGCTTGGCTTCTCCAGACAGAAGCTGCAAAGTCTGCATTTTTCTTTAATGAATTCTAAGCTCTCCTGGCAAATAGATGTCTCCCAGGCTAGGCTGTGGCCCGAAAGGCAGAAGAGTAACACACAGTGATTTTTCAAGAGCGCCTGTTGGGCATCTCCCACGTTTCTGGCTTGGATTGTTGATGGTATTTAAGCAAAACGGAGAAACTGAATGAGGAGAGTTTTTGAAGGGAAGTAAATTCAGTACTAGACCTGTTGAGTTTTATGTGCCGAAGAGGAGCACAGGTATAAATGTCCTGCTTGACTTGGCAGTGTGGTCTCAGAAGAGCAATTGGGGCTGAAGTACAGATCAGGAGTTGTTAGCCCTAGAATTCTGCATAGTAAGGTAAATTGAGTTGCCCTTACTACCTTACCTGTGTCTCCTAGGAAAGATCCAAGAGCAGCAGGGAGGAGGGAATGGCTAAAGGAGGTCATGGAAAAGAACAACACACAGTATAGAGTGGTCCTGGTCTAGCTGCCCAGGTCCACCCTTGGCACCTTTGTGCTACCTGGGCCTGGGAGTAGGAGCTACATCTGTATCAGGTGGCTGACGATGGTATCATCTGCATTACTTTTCTTATTATTTAGCAACACTGATGAAATTGCTCCCCCCGCAAGCAAATGGAGGCTTACACTCTCTGAACGAAGGATGGTCTAGGGGTGGGCCCTGGGCCGGGACTTCAGATTGCTGGGTGCTAAAGTGGGCCCTGCCTTCTCCCACCAGGAGATGGCCTCTTTGCTCTCCTGACCTCTGATCACTTCTCACTGCCTCCTGAGTCACTGGAAGACTGGAAAAAGCATTGCACGTAGGAGCTCAAAACCTCTTCAAAAAGCAGTGTGTAGAATAGGACAGGACTGGTTTCTTAGTGGTGTCACCGTGGGACCTGTGTATCCTGGGGGGGAAGAGTGTGCTCACTTGTGCATCCATAAGCATGGAATTAGAAGTAGTACATAAGGCTAAAAACAGAGAGAACTCCTAAGGAAGATGGATGGGGAAACAGACTGCCGCTCTCAGAAATACTGAAAAGCACAGAAAGGACTTCTTAGGTGGATAAGACAGGATTTAAAATAGAAATTTGGATTATAAGGCAGCTTTTCATACTTTGAAGAGAGAGATGGCTCATTCAAAATGGTGTTGGGACAACTGAGTAACCAACTGGAAAAACGTATGATTGTATCTCACTTCTATATACAAATAAGCGTCTGGGTGGCTCAGTCGTTAAGTGTCTGCCTTCGGCTCAGGTCATGATCCCAGGGTCCTGGGATCAAGCCCCACATCGGGCTCCCTGCTTGGTGGGAGGCCTGCTTCTCCCTCTCCCACCCGCCCTGCTTGTGTTCCCTCTCTGGCTGTCTTTCTCTCTGTCAAATAAATAAAACCTTTAAAAAATAAATAATAAATAAATAAATAAATAAATAAATAAATAAATTCCAAATGACTGAAAGATTTAAATGTAAAAATAAAACCACAAACACATGAAAAACACAGTCAATTATATTTACAGTGTTGGAGTGGAGAGGCCTATTTAGTAGCTTATAGATCCCCAAAGCCATAAAAGACAAGACATAAATTCGGCTACACAATTATCTGCCATTTCTTCTTGGCAAAATAAACAATAAAATAAAATTAGAAAAATACAAGGGGAAACTGGGAGAAAATACTTGCAACCCATGTCACAAAGGGCTCATTTCCTAAAGAGCTCCTACAAACCAATAAGAAAAAGATGTAATAAAGGGAGGAACAAAGGTCATGGGTAGTTGCTGGGGAAGGAGGGTCAAATGAGTTAGTTATGTGAAACGCAAAGAGATGCCAAGCTTCAGGCATCCTAAAGTGAAATGCATGTTAAAACGATGCTGAGAAACCTTTCTTTATTTTGGGGGTACCCACCAGGCTCTGTTGGCAAGGAGGTGAGGAAAAAGGCATCCTCATACAGCAAAGGGTATGAGTCCAGACAACCAGCTATTAGCTATCCACATTTTAAATGTACGCGCTCTTTGACCTAGCAATTCCAGGTACTGGTTTACTCCTCCAGCCACACTTGTCTGTGTACCAAATGATGTATGTACAAGCATTTCCACTGTGGCAATAGGGCATTGGAAACCATCCCAACACCCACCAATAGCCAACTAGTTCAATAAAATGCCATAAAACGCCAGAAAGAGGAATGGGGCAGCTGTAAACCTGCCTAAGGAGACCAGTCCATCACCAACATAGAGGGCAACAAGGCAAGGCGCAGTACAGTGTTATTTGTGTGTTAAAGAGAAGCTATTATATAACATACATATGTTATTTTTAAATGTACACACACACACCACCCCACACACTCAGGGGCATCTTTGGAACGTGGTTATCACGGTGCCTGTCATCAGGAGGGGAACTGGAAAGCTGGGGATGGAGGAGGAAGGAGACTTACTTTTCATTCCTTCCTATCTTTTGAATTTTCTACCATGTGCATGTATTATTGATTTCAAAAACATCTTCATTTTTAAATTGAAAGCAGAAAGGGAAATTCACCAACCATGAGGAAAAAGCAGAGAGTGAAGAAACAAAACTCAGCAGGTAACTACAGCCTTTGATTTTCCCTGAGCTTTGGTCTGAAGAGAATTGTTTGTTCTTACAGGCCATAGAGCTGACAGCAGAGACACTGCACTTTTCAGGGCCCCTTGTGTCCCCAGAACTAAGCTGCTATGGATGAGGAACTTGGCCTGGAGACGTGAAGGGATTG